GCCAGAGGCCCTGGGTTCGATTCCTCAGCACCACATAAGCAAAAAGAAAAAAGCCGGAAGTGGCGCTGTGGCTCAAGTGGTAGAGCGCTAGCCTTGGACTGAAGAGCTGAGGGACAGCACCCAGGCCCAGAGTTCAGGCCCCATGACTGGACCCCAAAAAAAAAAAAAGAAACATGGTAAATAATCCAAGTACTATTTACTTTTATCTTTTGTACAAATTGTTACCAAGAAACCTCTTTCTACTACTGGCTTATATAAATAATAACAGCAATGTTGTGAAGTTTTCATTGAATATAGCTAGATATTGGAATTTATTATTTGATTGATTTATTTATTTTTTGCCTGTCCTGGGGCTTGAACTCTGGACCTCAGCACTGTTCTTGAACTTCTTTTGCTCAAAGCTAGCACTCTACCACTTGTGTCACAGCACCACTTCCTACTTTTTCTGTATATGTGGTACTGAGGTATTGAACCCAGGACTTCATGCATGCAAGACAAGCACTCTACCACTAAGCCAAATTCCCAGCCTTTTATTTGATTTTTACTGTACCCATTCTCTTTGTTTTCTCCAGTCTCTTAATAATAAGTGATTGTTTTTATTTTATTTATTTATTTATTTATTTATTTATTTTGGTCGGTAGTGGGGCTTGAACTCTGGGCTTGGACGATGTCCCTGTGCTCTTCAGCTCAAGGCAAGCACTCTACCGCTTGAGCCACAGCCCCACTTCTGGTTTTCTAGTTGTTTTTATTGGAGATAAGAATCTCACACACTTTTCTACCTGTGCTGGCTTTTGAACCATGATCCTCATATCTCAGCCTCCTGAGTAGCTAGGCTTGTTTTTATTTATTTATTTTTATAGACAATAAAAGACATTTTATTTTTCCAGAGGGGTTACAATTACATGGGCAAGATGAGTAGATTTCTTATCAAGCATTGTAGCCTCCTCCTTTGTTTCCCTTTCCCATCCCTTCCCATCCTCCCCCACCTCCCACCCAACCTTCCCCCCCCAAGTTGTTTTTATTTATTTTTGGGGGGGGTCTGATTGTGGGGCCTGAACTCTGGGCCGGGGTGCTGTCCCTCAGCTCTTTAGCTCAAGGCTAGTGCTC